TTATTATATTTATTTAATATCATATATCATATAATTATAAATTTATCATTTTAAGTGATACTATTTTTATATTAAACTTTCAAATTTTAAAAGTTATACTTATATCAATTAATTTAAAATTAAATTACAATAAATCACATAAAATTTTTTAATATATATTATTGTATTTATTAAATTTAAAATTTTATTTAAATAACATTTTACAATTTTACCCAAATATATGACTTTATTTTATTTAGACTTTATTTAAGTAAAAAAATTGAATGATCAAATAACTCATAAATCTCGCTCAAAATATCAAATCCCTCGTCATATAAGCATGACAGGGCAATATTTTGCCATCCAAGGTCCAAGCAGCCAACCGGGTGTGTCCCAAACGGCAGTAAAGCCAGGCGACGGAGTCCCAAACGGCAGTTAGGTTGGCGTAAGAAGAAGGGCTTAATTGCTTTGATCCCAGAGTTCAAAGGCTTATATGCATCAATTAAAGTCTAAGGGCTTAATAGCGATTCTGGGGTTAGTTCAGGGGCTTAACTTATGGTTTTGCCTTTAATTTTTGTTGACTTTAAAATCTCCTTAAGATTGATTATTTTGATTATTTTGTGTTTACATATTTTGACTTTATTTTTTGAGAGGTTCTACATTCATTTTATTAGTGGTTAAATATGCTTTATAAAATTCTTATTTCAATCATTATTTTATTTGTTAAGAGTGAGTTTTCGCGATGATACTTTTTTTTGTCATAGTAGTACTTGGTTTATTCATTTTTTACAGTCAAGAAAATCTCACTCGTTTATCAACAAATTTATTTCTAGGAGTTTAATTAGTACTTCAACCTTTAAAAAGTGTTAATTTTTTATAATGTATTTTAGTGCTTTTTTATATAGATAATATGTGGTGTTTTTCTTTATATTTCAAGAGCAAAAACAATGTTAGCTCTCTTTAAAAAATGAATCACCAATCTAACATTATCTTAATATGATGCAATATGTTAAATTAATATGTAATGTGTAACTTTTTGTTCTTCATTGTTTTTTAAATATCCCAAAATATCATAGTCTAATATGTAAATTATTCATGATCTTTTCTTTCTATTGTGTAAATGCTTGATAATAAAATTAAAAAATAAAATCTCTAAATGAGGTCTTAAACAGAAGAAAGTCTCTTATGCAACAAAGATACTAGCTGACATGGTATCCCAATCCAATGATAATATTATAGTGCACTAAAATTAGATACTTTATCTTTCATAAGTCTTACACATTATACTCATTCACAATCTTAATTATTTATTTTTTTATTTCTAGTAATTGAAATTTATTATAATTTTTTAGATGAAAAAATAATTATATTTAATAAATGTAAATAAATCTTAACAATTGAAATTGAAAAAACAAATGATTAAGATTTTGTATAAATATAGTGTGTAAAACTTGTAAGTGAATCCCTACCATATATATAGAAGTATATGTTAGTCTCGACTTCAAAAACAAATTAATTCCAACCTTAAATAATATTGTTTCATTTAATTAAAATCTAATTTAAAATTTAAAAATTTATCTTATTAAATGTTAATTCTTATATTTGAAAACTGAAACCTAATTTAAAATTTAGAAATTCACTGGTATGTTTGAGAACATGACTTTGGGAGAGTGTATTTGAATTTAGTCATTTCAAATTTAATATTACAGTTTGTTTTTACAAAATAAGGATGTACTTGAACTTAATCAAAATACATGTAATTAGAATTGTGTATTTCATTACTTTAAAATCCATGTATTTCAAATTCTCTTCCAATCTTATGCATTTCAAATTTAGATTTATGTATTTCAACCTGTTCCTGGCCGAACTCTTCCGCATTGGAGAAGGCTAGGTAGGAATGTGGTGATTTTTCCATCACAAGACGAGCAAGAGAGATGGGTTCTTCACGGTGGTTACACTGGATACGACGCTGCACCTTCTTTTGTTCCCGTCCATAATGCTTGCCTCCATTTCCAACGTTCCTTTGGCTGTGAGTGCAGATCCATGGCTGGAATTGAACAAAGGATCCGTTTCTAGTTCTCTCACCTACATAACCAAACCACGTAAAACAATTGCTACATTCTTAAAGGCGAAAGTATTTTGCCTCTTTTTTGGTCAAAAACTACCACGTCTGCTATTTTTAAGGAAAAAAGTAGGAATTGAGTACTTGTCTTTCAAGAAGAAAAAGCAGGGGACGACGGAAATAGAGACAGAGACGAAGAGATTAACGTACAACGAGTTCAACAATATCAATGGCAGGGAGATTAGAATGGAGAGCAGAGATGCTGATTTCGAGATAGTGAGTGAGGAGTTTCTTGGCCTCCCCTTGTCCATGTGCAGGGAGATTGGGGACCAAACTAATAACATTTAGCTTGAGCTTGTTACTGAAGTTGCAAAAGGATTGTCTAAGAAGTGATTGTAAAAATGCCTAAATCAACCACTTGAATATCAAATTCACTTTTATTATATTAATCCAAACAATAAATTTGAAAATACATGTATTTATAATTACATGTATTTTAAATGTATGCATTTAAAATACATTTTTTAAATACAAATTCAGGTTCTCAAACATAATCTTTATGAAATATTGATACATAAATTTAGAAA